CATAGTCTTTCATTACCCACAACTTAAAAGTGCCCCATCCTTGATGTTTATGAGTAGAAGAAAAGCAAAGCATTCCTTCCACTAATGAAAGGCCATAATAAGACAACACACCTTCATTAGTTATGTGCATTTGCTCTAGCAAAGGTATCTCTCCGTACACCTCATTTGAAGAATTAAATGAAACCAAATGATAAGTTCTTGCTACTGTCATACCAAGCCAATGAAATGCTCCATGAACAAATACCATAGGATCCGTATACCAATTGTCATTTAGGTAAGGAAAAATCGGAAGTTTCCTTCCCCGCCCAGGGCAAATGGCAATGGTAGTTGGACGGTACAAAATATTTCTCCAAGAACCACTTTTTAGCGAGAGAACTTGAATGGAGTGTCCTCCTTTAAGCACGGTCCACTTAAGGAGCTTGTACCCATCACTTGTCGCGTCACATCCGAATCCGATCATAGTCCACCTCTGTGTAAATTCTGAATGGGGAAGAAGTGTCGACTCTCTTGTGGAAGGGTTCCATAGATAAAGTTGTTGATCAAATGTACTATAACTATAAAATCCGAGAACAACCAACCCATTGAAACTACAAAATAATTGGCCCTCATTTGGTTTGAAGGTTGAAGGGCAATCGAGTTCTTGTACATACTTTGAAAGACATGAATTGAGTTGTTGTACATTCGATAAAGGAGAAGAATAGAAGCTAAATTTGATGGTACGTTCCATATCACCCCAACCAGGCCATGACTGGCAAACAAGAAGTTTCTGGTTATTCTTGGTGAGATGCTTCAAATTGAAGTAAGGATCAGAGATTAATGCCTGCCAAGAGTTGGAAACACATTTGAGCTGAAGCAGAGACTGTACGGGTAACCTGCTGAGGATTTCCATAATTATAACGTCTTGGAATTGAATTCCAGTGGCCTAGATAGGAGAAGGCAAGCGCTTTAGTAGTTCACAGGTTGAAGCCATTAGTGTTTAGGGCGGGCGGGAAGCACACGCACAACAAGAACAAATATTAAAGAAAGAAAGGTAAAGAAACTAGCTTAGTGTGAAATCAGAACTAACCTGATGATCAACAATATCCATCTGCTTTGACGGCTTCACAACTCTCTTCCCTGAAATTAATTAAAAAAATGTGGTCAGCCCTTTTCATGTAGACGATAAAGGCGCGCGCACACACAGAAAGAGAGAAACATATACCTTTGCGAATTCGTACTGATTTCTTCTGCAGCTGCTGCTGTTGGCATCTACGAAGATTTGCCATATTTGGAGTTTCCCTATTGAAAAGATTAGCCTTTTTTTGTCATCTTTGAAGCTTCTCTATTTGCTTCGATTTGAAAGCTACGGCTTCTCTTCGAAAAGATTCGTCTTTTATGGAACTGGAAATGGTTGCTAAGGTTTCTCTTAAGTAATTTTGCAGACGCTGGATGCTAGTAATGAAAATGCTGCCGGAGAAAGAAAAAGTAGCTTAAGATTCTGACCATGGATCTAAAAGAGGGCGGACGCGGCTGGCTAGCGTTTTAGGAGAATGAGAGTGAAAGGAGAGGCGCAGAAAAAGGAAATGAGCTCATATACCTTGGCTGAAGTGTAATCTCCGCCGTTCGATCGTTCTGCTCAGGCCGAGCCAGACGTGTGCGGAAGATTCTGGCTCAAGTATATCATTAGTATATAGATTAGACAAGCAATAAAAGTGTGAAGTTAATAAACATATATTTTTTTATTAAAAAAAAGCATAATAGGTAAAACGAAAGGGGGTTTCAGTCACTTATTTCCTAGTACAAGTGAGAAAATAAAATAAGCTGATAACTTAAATGAACACATGTAGGAACCAAAAATTTGCAAGTAATAGACAATACTTGAGGTCCTTACATGATTTCCGAAAAAAAACAAAAAGAAGAAATAAAAAAGTTTCTTGCATACATAAGCAAATATTAAATAAGTGATTTCGGAGAGATCAAACTTTCTTTATAAGCAATTCCATCATGAACTCTAAAATATTCGTGCCAGAATCCAAATGGACCTGTGGATGTCCTAAGTGCAGTATGTCCAAATGTAACCATACGGTTGGTCCAAGGTGCACTTCCTAAAGTCTCAAATAAATATAGTAGCACTTCACCATTTGCAAATCTATGTTTCAATTTGGCATATACAATATTGTTGAGTCGTATGGTAAACAATACAGTCCAAGATTCTTTGACACCATAGTCTTTCATTACCCACAACTTAAAAGTGCCCTATCCTTGATGTTTATGAGTAGAAGAAATGCAAACCATTCCTTCCATTACTGAAAGACCATAATTAGATAACACATCTTCATTAGTTATGTGCATTTGCTCTAGCAAAGGTATCTCTCCGTACACCTTATTTTAAAAACTAATGAAACCAAATGACAAATTCTTGATGTGAGCACGTGATTTTTGCCCTAAGCAAATTATTCCCAAAATTCAAACAAAATGATTTTTCCTTATTTTACAATTTTTGTGAATTTTTTTGTCATTTTATGTTAAATGTTTGCATTTTTATTTTGTGCATGTTAATTCACAGGAAAATACAAAATATGCATTTGCATGTGGGATATAGTTTCATATTTTTAGGATTAATTAGGGGTTCATTTGTTTTAGAATAAAACAGGAAAAATCTCAAAAAATAGTGCTTTTGCATTTTAATTGCTTTAATTGTGAAATTGCCACAAAATAGTTTTAAAATTAATTTTAGGCATTAATTAATTTAGTTAATTTTTATTTTTATCTTTATAAAATTCAGAAAAAACACAATACAAAATTATAAATGGAAATAACAAAAATTAAAAAAAACAAAGGTAAGAGAAATAAGAGAAGGAGATAAAGGGTGGTCTTAGAAGAAATTAACTTGGGCCATTTTTCGTAGTAGGGTCTGTGGCCCAAACCAAATCACACGCCGGCCAGCCCCAGCCTAGATTCCTTCCTCCTCAACCCGGTCCAAATCCTCCCAGCCAAAACGACACCGTTTAAGATCCAATTCAATCACAACCCTTGATCTCCCTCTCATCCAACGGCCCTTAGTCTCTTGTGGGTTAATATATAATGGTCGGACTGATTAATTAAATCAAAAAGACAAAACCAGTCTTCCTCGTACAGACCTAAGCCTCGCCGGAACCCTCGCCAGTGGGAAACGCAACCAACGTCGATGACCGCCAAATTAACACCATCGATTCCCCCCAACCTCCTCTTTCCATTCCCCATGTTCCTATACCTCGAATCTGCCCAGAAAGCTTTGAATATCCCTTTGAAATTTTCCGGCCAAAACGCAAAGTATGCCAAACACCACCAAATTTACACCATTGACTCGCCTTAACCTTCTCATCCCAAATACCTAAGCCGTGTTCCTCGAATCTCGCCGGAATTGTTCGAATTTGGATTTAAATTTTTAAGGCCAAAAACCCTAACCCAAAATCTTTGTGATTTTGGACCGTAATATCCTTAACCATGTGTTTTCTTATGAAAACACATGGTTGGGGATGTTACGTGTCAAAAATTCTGAAAGATTCGGACGTCGATGGTTGACCGGCGTTTCTCTTGGCATCAGTGAGTTTTCGTTTTCCTCTCTTCTGTTTGCTTCTATTCTAATACTTGCTAATGTCCAAGTTTTTGTCAACTATGTCTGGATTCCATGTTTTGATTTATGGCTTGATTCTAATTTATTTTGTTCTTGATTTTAGTTTGATTGGCATATTAGAATTTACTCTTTTTCGATTCAAGAAGTTAGTTTAGGTTTTGATTAGTTTAAGTTTAATCAGGATAATTGTTCTTCACTTTAGTTTGCTAATGGTAAGTCAGTGTTAATGTGTTTTGTTGATAATTGGTCATTGGTTAATCGGGCTTTGATTGTTGGATTTAGAATTCGATTTGGGTTGATTTCAGTATTACCATCTTGTAAATTATTCATGTGTTACTTGGTAAGTTGTTTGGTTGTAACTGAAGGGTTTTGGGTCAGGTAGTAATTT